CAATCAGAATTATTTCTCGTATTTTTTTTTTTTTTTTGCAGTCTAGAAAGCTTTGAAAAAAACCTACAATTATTCTTTTGAATAAATATAGGCGATAAATTTTTTGTATCCTGCATATATTTTGGTTTTTCCTCGTAATTTTTTTATTTCTCTATTTATTTTTTGACAACTAGTACTACTGATGAGAATTTTTTTTTTTTTTTTCTTTTTAGAAATTAGTCGATTATTTTATAACGATAATAATTATTCATAATTTGATAATCGTTATTTTTATTTTATTATTTTGTTTGTTGAACAAAAATTCGGAAATCTTATTTTTTAATGAAAATCTTTGAATATAGTTGGGAATATTCATTTTTCGTGTCTGATTGAACTCATATAAACATTCAAGAAAAATTTCTATTTAATTCGTTAAAAAATAAAAAAATTCCAAAAATGAATTTTCTAAAGAATTTTGTAAAAAAAAAATTAATTATATTAAAAAAAAAAACAATTTTTATCTGTAATTTTTATATTTTAAAAAATATTTTGTTTTTTTGCGATATTAAATATTTTTATAATAAAAAATTATCTTTTTGATAATTTGATTTTTACTAAAAAAAAAGGAAATAAATTTTTTTTTATTTGTACCAAAGAATTTTTAGTTAATTTTTTTTCTGTATCTATTTTCTAAATTTTGAATTAATTTTAGTAGTTTATTTTAAATATAACAATTTTTTCTCGGAGGTAATTTTTTTTTTTTTTAATGAATTTATTGAATCTTTTCTTGTAATGTCAATAAGAGAAAAGTTATAGTGAGAGTACGTTAAGTCACATCAGTTTTTATTTTTTTGTTTTATTTTTTAATATATTGAACTATTTTTATTTTACTACGAATATAGGATATAGTTAAATATAAAATTCCGTCAACTCTTTTTTTTCTCTTGGTATAATAATAATAATATTATTTTTTTTTTTTTATTAAACCGATTCGATATCTTTAATTTTTTGTATCTTGAGTTTAATTATATATCAATAAATCGACGTGTGTGCCGTATATTTATATATAGGAATTGAACGCCGTTTATATTATATATATATATATAAATTTTTCTCGCAGTTAAAACTGTTTTCTAACTAAAGAAAAAAATAAATTACGATTTATCGTTAGGTTGGGTATGGTTGGCAGTGTTGACGTCAGATAGGACGGTCTCCCTGCTAGAGTTTGTGGTGAGCTCTTCTTCCCTGCAATATAACAATGTTACTTGGCCATCACGCCTCCTCATTTTTAGCTTCAATTTTTTTTTCCAAAAGTTATTTCCCTGTTCTTTTTTTTCTATATTTTTATTTATTATTTCAAAAAATGTAAGAGCTCCATTATCTGTATTTAATATTGTTATGTTGCAATAACGATTATTTTTTAAAAATTTAATTTCATTTAAATCAAATTCTGAATCGAAATTAAATTTGGTATATAAAATTGAGTTCTGAATATTGAAATTAAATTTTTTATTAAAATTGAATTCTAAATTATAATTAAATTCTGAATTAAATTATCAAAGTAGAATAAATAATTTGTTTTCAATAAAAAATTTGATAGATTTACATATACAAATTAGATAAAATTTACTGAATTAATTGTCTAATATTTTCCTCTTTTTTTATTTTATTTCTTTGTTTTTACTTTTTTACGTTATGTTTTTATTATTTTTTTATTTTACTTTTTTTTATATTTTAATTACCAAGAGGCAGAATTATAATTAAACTACTCTCTAAATCTGAATTAGTAAAAATGTTTACTAATTTAAATTAGTGACACACTTTTTACTGTAGAATTAGTTAAATTTTACTAATTGTTAGTAAAAGTTACTAATAATTAGTAAAATTTTACTAATTCAGAAGCAAAAAGTAAGTCACTAATTCAAATTAGTTAAAATTTTTACTAATTTAGATTTAGAGAGTACATAATTGGCTCGAAATTTAGTAAATTATTTACTAAATAAATTTTTAGTCAAATAAAATGTATAATTTATAATTCTAAACATTTTTTGAAAGTAAAAATTAAATGATTTTTTAATGAAAAAATTGTAATATTTGTAGTAAAATTTTATAATTTTACAGCACATTTGGGTTAAAATTTATTGAGTAAATAATTTAGTAAATTTTTAGCTAATTTGAATTAGTGATGGCTGATTTATTTTATTTTTTTTTTTTTAGTTTAATTTATTTTTTTTTAAATATTAAAATCGTAATCTGCTACCTAATTTGTACATGTCTTAAAATTCAAATGAAATAAATTAAATTTGTAAAAAAAATGAATTTAATTATAATTCGTGTAAATTTAATTGATTTTTAATTAAATGTTAAATTTTTTTTCAATTAAATTCCATATCGAACAGATTAAAATTTTAATTGTATTTCCATTTGTTTTTTTTTTTTTTTTTTTTTTTTGTTCAAATAAGAGAAATTCAGAAAATGAGAATACACAAAAATGAAATTAAAATATAAAATGTATAAAATTAAAAATACAGTCGTGAATTTGTATTTGTGTACATATAGGGTGAACACAGAATGAAATATTAATTCTAAAATATTTCTATATAGTGTCGTCCCTGAAAAATTAATTTTACGTCTATGAAAAAAAAGACGAAAATATTTTTCATCACATGTTTTAAATCTTCCCCCTCCCCCTCCTAAATAAAGGGCCTTGATAAAAACTACCTGAATGTTTCGGGAAAATACCTAAAAGACAAACTCTAAGGAGTAGTCTAAGAAATTTATATATTATGTATAACACACTAACATTATTTAAACAAATACAAATTTAGTATCAACGGATACCATAAAAAATATATATATGTATAACAAAACATCATAGAAAGCAACAAGAAAACATTCAGGATCTAACATAGTTTGTTACTTAATATTATATATGATTTGTAATTATTTTTTTTTTTTTATTTCTATTGTAACACGAATAACAATTATTGAACGGTAATTTAAGCACTAACATGCACTCGCAAAAATGGCGAATAATGATCTTGTCGTTTAAAAAACATGATTGACTGATTCTCAGAATTGTTCTGTTGTTTTTTTTATTTATTTATTTATTTATCGAAGTTATATTAATTATTTATATAAAACACTTGTATATTAATAGAACAAAACCGAGCATGCCTTTCGATTCGAAACTCCAATAATTATTTTTTTTTATATATATATATATATATATGAAACATTAATCGGGGCTTTTATGTTTTATTAAGACAATTAATTTTATATATGAATGAAATTAATGAAATCCCATACATAATAGCCCTGAATTTTGTAGAAACTGTGAAATGTATTTGGCTACAGCAGAAGAAATGTAAATCAGGTTGTTTTAGAGGTACACAGCATCAGAGTAAAATATTCATGCATGTTTTCAGACCATATTTTGGCTTATGTATGTATATATATATAAATGTAGACTTGACTAATATGCAAAAGAGGATTTCGGTTTAACTCGAAAACATGTATTTAGAACATGCTGAGTTATGTCAAATTCGATGCAAAAGCAGAATTTTCCCTATATATACATAGGTATATTTATATATATATATATATATATATATATATATATATATATATATATATATATATATAACTGTGAATAGTCTGTTTGACATCAGAAATTACTTTTCGTACAGTTTAGAGTTGTGAATGTGTTGCTATTTAGAAATTGTATATCCTTATCATGTTTATTAGTTATAATATAATACCAACTTTTAAAATTTCTTCGAATTTTTTCTCATTTTTTTTTTTTTTGTTAATAATAAATTATAATTAAAAAATAATTGAACAGTCAAAATAAAAAGTAGTTCATTTTTTTTATTTAATTAAATAAAATTAATTTTTATTAAAAAATTTTTTGCCATAATTTTATTTTTAACATTTTGAATCATTTGAATGAAGATTAAAATTTTCTCACAGTTAGATTGTTACAAAAATCGTTTTCTGTTAGAAAATTGTAATTTTCATTAAAATCCTACTTTTAATGATTCAAAATTTAAAAAAATTATATTATTTACCGAAATAATTTTTTAATTTTTCCTTTTTTTATTTAAAAAAATCAAAAATATATGAACTTGGACTAATTTTTGTTTCGATTGTTTGTCTTATTCTTTCTTAAATACTTTTCTTCTTGTGTTGTTTTAAAGTAAAAAAAAATTACACTAATTTTGTAATCGCTAATTAATTTACTGTTTGATTAATTTTTAATTCGAAATTAATCAAATTGATTGTAATTTAATATGCTGGAATTTTTTTTTTCTATTTATTCATTAATTAATCTGTTGAACTAATTAATTTAACTTTCAAATTAATTAAAATTTTTTAATTCATTTTGATTTTTGAATTAATTTAATAAATTGAATGATATTATTAAATTTTTTTAATAATTAATATGTGAAAGTCGCAAAGGAATTTATAAAAGAAGCAAATTTTCCAGGTCGAATTAGTTTATTGGAAATTCTTCTGATGTCATGAAATTAGTACCGTTGCAATTTTGTTTACTAAAGTTTAATAGCTGAAAAGGATATTAGAATTATTTTTAAGGTAAAAATTATATGTGGTAATTTAAAATTCTTTAAAAATTGAAATTTTAATTTATATTTTATCACTAAAATAATTTGAATAAATTTAATATAGAAAAATGTAAATAATTTGTTTAGTTAATTTAATGGACAGTCAAATGTAGTCAATGTTTATATTTTCTTATTTTTAATTTTTTCCTTATTATTAAATTGTGTTTAATAATTAGTTTTGCAATTTATAATATAATAATTAGAAATTAAATTTTTTTTGTTAAAAAATACCTTTGATTGCGTTAATTATACACCTTAAAAATAATTCTTTTTTTATTTGCTAATCGGATTAGTTGACGATTTAGAAAAACCTAGTCATGCAAAAGACGAATCAGAAAAATCTTATGCAACTGTTGCAAGACCATTTTCAAAACAATAAATCTTTTTTGAACTTACCCATAAAGTCTACTATCCCGCAAACTGCTCCTATTCGAGAAAATAGAGAATTAGTAATAAATTTGATAATATTAAAAAATTATTATTAATTAATTGATGAAAATTATTTTTTAAATAAATAAAATAAATTAATTGAATAATCAAACAATTAAAAATTAAATTAAATAAAAATAATTAAAATATGTTATAATAATGATCAATTATCACATAATTATTAAAATTATAAAAAAAAAATATTAACGAAATAAATGATTAAATAACAATAAACTCACGGATAATTAACATTTCATGCAGATTTATATAACTGAAAAAAAACCAATAATACTTACGAGGAATAATTGTAAATGCAAACAGAGGATTAAGTATAATAAAGAAAACAAAAGATAATGAATCAATATAGTCATTTATTTATAATATTACATAAGAAATTATATGTGAGATTAAATAACCTATAAATATGTAAAAACAACAAAAAAAATTTAACATGAATTCTATAACCATTTACTGCACAACTGTTTATTTTTAAAAAAAAAAATTATAAATTTTATATATAATCTAACGAAATAACATAAAATATACTTTCCATAAAAAAAATTGATATATAAAAAAAGTTTTTACAATGGATTTTGCAATTAAATTTTTAATTATTTTTTGTTTTTATATTATATATTTTATGTACATAAATTCATGAGCCTTTTTATGCCAAATCCATTGTCAGACGTTTTATATATTATTTAAAAGTTATACAAATTCATGCATTAAACACTAAATAATTATATATAATATTATTTTCTACTATCACTCAATTTAAATTCTGTAAATATCAACTAAAGTGTTAGCATCAAATTAAAACTTATTTACATACATATAAAATAAAATAAAATTATTAAAAAAAAAAAAAACTATAATTATAAACAATAAATCCAAAAAACTTCTGACAAAAAATTCATTTTTTTTACAATTTTTTTTTTTATAATCGTTTTGAGCAGTGGATCAAAAAGTGGATTATTAATTAAAAACCTTCTTAATACATAATATATTAAACACGTAATTTAAATCACAATAATAACATTTTGTAAAAAAAAATGGAATACTTTTTTCTTTAAAATCTCATCAAAACTCAACTGCAAAATAATCGTCAATTTTTCTGAATAACAAATAGAATAAATGATTATTTAAATATAGAAGTGTCGATTCTCATTTTGTTACAGTTCAGTTAATATTTAATTGGAGCACAAAATGTGCAGTCTTGTATTTATAAATCTGGCAATGCTTCACAAATGAATAATATATATATATATTTTTTTAAATTGATTTCTTATACAAATTGAGAAGTTCTTTTCAATTCATCGTCCAATAGTTGAATAATCAACGATCCTAGCAATAAACACAAATTATAATCTCATTTGGTATTTTTGTGTAAAGCAATAAAAAAAAAATGAAGATACATGTTAATTAAAACTTACTTTTTTTTTAATTTAATAATTTTTCTAAAGAAATGAAAATAATTTGTATTGTAAATTTATTGAAAGTAAAAAAAAAAAGAAGAAAATATTTCAATTTTTTCTTTTGTAATGTAAAATTTTAGTATATTAAAAAAAATTAATTTTATTTTCCATTTCATTCAAATGATAATTTAAAAAAATTAATTAGTAATTAATTAAATAATTTTTTTTATAGAAAAGTGTAACTTTTTAATAGAGATAATTTTATCAAAGTTAAGAAAAAAATAATTATTTTACATATAAAACATATATCTTCATTTTATATAATATCATTGTATTCATGTACTAAAGGAAATGCCCTTATTTTTTGATTTTATAAAACAAAAGAATTTCTCAGATATTTTCGAATTTAATTATAGAAAAAAAAAATTTGTGCTTTTTTCTAAATTTTATTCTATTTTTACTTTAACATTAGTTGATTTTTTAGTATAGTGGAATATATATTTATATATATATAATTTAATATACTAATATTTTTTTTAATTATAACAAAAAATTATTTATTATAATAAAATTGGACGGAATCACTGCAAATATTGAATGTTGTCAGTAATAGGTGTAAAATTTTTGTTTGCTTTTTTTGGATTAAAAAATAATTTTTTCTATTTTAAAAAATGAAACATTGAGTCAATTAGCGATTTTCATGCGAAAAATAATTAAAATATTTCGAATTTTGTTTGTGTGCGTGTCAATTTTTTGTTGGCAGGTTTTTTTTGGGGGGATTGTTTTTTTTCCAACACATGCAAGTCAAAAAAAAATTTTGATAATTTTTTTTTACAGTAAAACAGATTTTAATATTATTATAAAAAATCCCTATGGGACAACTGCCTTGTTACTGTATGATGAATTAGGTGTGTATTTGATTTTTGGTTCTTTTTTGTAAACATACCTGCCATTATTGTGCCTGAATAATGCTAAAATTTCTTCGAATGTCTTATTTTTCGTTTCCGGGACTTTTTTATATGTAAAGATCCAAAAGATGGCTAGAAATGCACTAAACGGCAGGAACGTGTAGTTTTCAAGAGCACTCTGTAAAAGAAACATAAAATTATTATGATAAAACATCAATTCAGAATGAAGTGGAAAAAAATTAATTATAAAAATCAAAAGTTGAAGAAAAATTCATGGAGAAAAAATGAGAAAAAATTATTTTTTTAAAGTGGAAAATTACAAGGTTTTTGTACCTTCATTTTTAGAAAACCAATTCCAACCACAAAATTAGCCATCCAATTGACAAGTACAGCAATGGACATGGCTGCAGGCCTTGGTCCTTGGGAGAAAAGTTCGGCTGTTATCATCCAGGGAATGGAACCAGGCCCCACGGCAAAGAACATTACAAAACTGAGCGTTGATACCACCGAAAGATAGGACATCCAGTCAATCATTTCCTGTACGTAACCAAAAAACTCCTATCAGGCGGTAGAAATAAGTTCTTCTTTCCTGAGCAACTGGAGGAGCCTCAGGATCAACTCAAAAGAATAACTCATTCTTTGTTTAAAAATAATAAAATAAAATTACAAATCCACATGCAGCATGCAGCTCAAATCCTGCACTGAGAAAAATTTTTTTTTTTTTTTTCATAATTGTTTAGTTCAAAATTATTTTACTGAAAAATATTTATACTTTCTAAATCTGTATTAGCTTTTTTTTTACTGATTCAAAAGTGACGATTTGTTTACTAAATGAATTAGTAACTATTTTGACTAATTTTTAGTAAAATTACTGATTAGTAATTTTTTTACTACGAATTAGTCAATTTTTTAAAAATGAAAAATAGTCAAGATTGTTACAAATTCAGTAAAGAATTACTAATTAGTAGTTTTCTATTTACTAAATTAATTAGTAATCATTTTGACTCATTTTTAGTAAAAACATTACTAAATGATTTAGTAACTATTTTGATTAATTTTTAGTAAAATTACTGATTAGTAATTTTTTACTACTAATTAGTGAATTTTTTTAAATTAAAAAATAGTCAAAATGGTTACTAATTTATTTAGTACACGAATCGACATTTAAATTTTCAAAAAACTACTAATTCAGATTTAGAGATTATTAAAGCAGTTCAAATTCAATTAATTTTACTCTAAAACTGAATAAGTAAACAAAAAATTAACTAATTTATATTTTTGTATTTTTGCTTTTGAATTAGTAAAATTTAACTCATAGTAAAAATAAAAGCATTGAAAAAAATTATTTGATTCAAATACTTGACTATTATCAAATAAATATTTATTTAAACCAAATAATTTTTACTTGAATTAAATAAATTGTATTTGAACCATTAGTTTCTGTATTTGAAACAAATACCATTTATTTGACTCAAATAATAATTATTCGGTTCAAGTAAATATTTAATTGATAATAGTCAAGTATTTGAATGAAATAATTTTTTTTCAATGTGATTTACTAACAGTTTAGTAAAATTTAATTTAAATACAAAATGTTTTATTCAAATTAGAAAATTAATTCAAATTAGTTAACAATTTTCAACTAATACAGATTTAAAGAGCAAAATTTAGTAAAATACTTTGAGTAAAAATATTAAGCAACTAGTATAAATAAATTTTCTAAAATTAAATTTTTAAAAAACCAAATTTTATCTATATTACACAAAATTATTCATGAAAATGAAAAATTAGATTCAAAGCAAATATTTTTCTCAGTCTCTTTGTGTCAAGTGAAAAAGTGTGTTTAGTGATAAATAGCGTACAGTATATAGCAGAATGTGCATCGTTGTATCATACTTAACTCGCTGTTCGTAAGCTGTGAAATCGTTGATTATATTGGCTAAAGAAAATCGTTAATTGGCTCAAAAAAAAAATTCTTTAATTACCTCAAAAACTCTGCGATTTAAAAAAAAATAGAAAAAATTTTTAATTTACAATAATTCCTCGTATAATTATTTTGGTTAAGGAAAATCTTAGAAATTGTTTGGGTTTCCGGTTCCTTTGCTTTATTTCGAAAAAAAATTGAAAATCTAATTTTTTTTCCCCTATAGAAACGCAGATAAATTTTTTTGTAAATTTTTTTTTTGTATGTTTCGCCGAGGAATGAAAGAAATGAATGATTTTTAATATTTTTATATTATATTACTTGGCAAGAAAGGATATGTATTATTGCAGTTGAAATAACCTCTTTTTTTTGAGAAAAGACATGCCACTATGAAATTGGATAAGGCTTTTAAAAGCAAGGAAACGCAACATTCCATTTCACGAAAAATTCCTTTGAGAATTGTATCATACTACTTATTTGCCGTGAACACGTTCCACACAACGCATTTAAAACCCCTTATGGCCTTTTCCACTTTAGTGTACTGACATTTCAGTATATCGTGAATTTTTCAGATTACACTTCTTAATGCCTCACTTAAAAGGAACATTTCATATTTTTTTCCTCTCCATTTTTATATAGATTTAAAAAAAATATTTCTTGAAAAAAAATTTTTTCCTTGACGAATAAAATTAAATAACTTTTGTAAAAAGAAAAAAAATAGTAAAATTATATTTTATTCACTTGGTAAATTATTTACTGTTTAATAATTAATTTGCAAAATTGTTAAATCCTTTTCAAAATATTACAAAACTGTTATATATATTATGATTGACTTTTATAATTAGATGAAATAAATTTAGTTGCAACGTGCATTTCAATTTAATATTTCAGGCCAATGAATTTGTAACAAGATTTCGTGCCATTATCCCGATATAAAGTGTGTAGTACCACATTATGTATTTTAAATAAACTTGCGTTTATAATTTGACACGCGTCAACGTTAAGCTTTATACATTTAATAACGCAGGTTAAATATAATACACACCTCTTTTATCATACACATTATAAATCCCAACAAAATTCAATCATTTTGAGAAATGAAAATGTTGTGTCAAGTTCATACAAAGATGCAATCAATATTTTTATATCACGATTCAATAATAATAATAATAATTTACTCGCGCGTCTTTCTCAAAAACAAAAAAAAAATTGTGAACAAATCATTGCTATCGCGACCTATAAATATAATGGAAAATCAAGTGTGAATGGAATCCTGTAACAGGTTTTGAGCTAAATGGAACGTAAGTTGATAATAAACGAATGTCAGATAATTATCTCCTCCAGACAGTCACGAAAGAGGTCAAAAGATGATAGAGGGGGAAAGGGGACAGGGGGAAAAAAAAATCAAAAGAATCGTATTTAATATAATCATCATGCGTGCAAAGCTTTTGTGCTATATAATAATTGGTGTTTTGAAAAGAAAAACGATGATTGTATTATTTATAGTCTGTATTGTAAAACGTACAATTTGTATAGTAAATTTTACTATACGGTTTTTAAATATTGTAATGTGTATAGGAAAATTTACTGTACGGATTGTAAATATTGCAATTTGAATAGGAAACTTTACTTAACAGATTGTAAATATTTCAATGTGTATAGTAAACTTTACTGTACGGATTGTAAATATGGCAATGTGTATAGTAAAGCGTACAATTTATATAGTAATATTTACTGTATGGATTGTACTATTTTCAGTATGTATGTATGGTACAATGTATATGGTGAATTTTACAATACAGATTTTAAATATTATTCATATCGTAAAGCGTACAATTTATATAGTAAACTTTACTGTATGGATTGTAAAAATTACAGATTTTTTTTCTTAAATTTCAATTAAATGAATGATTAAAAAAAAAAGAATTAATATTCTCTGGCCCAAACAATTAAATTTTAATTAATTAAGAATTGTGTAAAAATTGTCTGCATTAATTAAAAATAGGGCGAATTAATTAAATAAGGCGAAGTGTCGTGTGCTAGCTAATTAGTAAAATTAAAAATAATGAAATAAAAATAAAATAATGTTGGTTTCATGCGGGTGTTGGAATACTTATTACTAAATGAATGATTGGGAGGCAATTAAAATGAGATTTTTTTTGATGAATAAAGTTATATAAAATTACAGCGGTGATAGTCTCTCACTCTTGGTGCAGTGCTGTTCCCCCGCTGTGAACAAAGTGTTTAAACCACGCACCATAGTGGACGTGTACAATAGACGAGATTATTGTCATTTTTTTTTAATGTATATTGAAAAATGTATATTAAAAAAAAGTATATTAAATGTATATTAAAAAAAAAACAATAATTTCTTCTATTGTGCGCTTTCAAAAATACATATTTATATTGATGTACAGTGTTAAAAGCACAAGTGAAAAAAAATCTTATATACAATCCTGTGGGGTGTCATTTCACAACTGTTAACTGCAAATATTACAAAACTTTGGTAATCCTTTTTCGCGGGGAAAAATATATCTATATTTTTTTCCCCGGTCCCTTAGGTAAGATTTCCAGAGTTCGACTTGGCAGGTTGTGAAATTACTTTTTATGAGTTTAGAGCATCGTTTTATTTGCTGATTTTTCTTCAAATTATATTGCTCTTTAATCTTTATTATTTTTTTCATATTTATATTAGTTTCGTTAAAAAAAAATTTTCAAAACAATTTTTTTTTCTCTCAAATTTTTGTTAGTTCTTACACATTAATTTTGCTTAAAATTTTATTAGACTAGAAAAAATTTCTTGCTCACAATACATGGCTTTTTTTCGACTTTTCCGTTGTAGGTATAAAAATTCTTCTTTTTGAATTTTTTGTTCTTGATTAGAATTTTCTATAACTTTGAAATTGTATTGTGCACAGAAATAGTGTAATTTCATAATTTCTTTTTGCTATTGCAATAAAAGTAAAATTGTTTCATATATATATATTATAGTGGGAAGGATTATTAGTTTGAAGTTTCTTAACTCACCTTTATGAGGAAGGAGATTGTGATGAATATGGAAAAGATAAACATTCCACCGAGACCATACAAATGTAATGTTCGCCTCCCAGTTCTGTCCATGAGGAAAATGGAAACGATTGTCATTACAACCATAATTGATCCTATACCAATGTTAGCAAACTTGGCACTCTCTTCCGTTAAGCCCGAGCTTATAAACAAACTCGTTGAATAGTAAAATACCTTGAAGGGAAAATAAAATTTAAATATAAAAATTTAAAAATAAAATTTATTTTATCACCACTTACAGCATTAATTCCGGATAGTTGTTGCGAAAGTTGCATTACAATTCCAATGACAAGTGGCGCCCTCAATGTTGGACTGCATATTAATTCCGTCATTGAAATTGTCGATTCTGCCTGTTGAGCTCTTTCTTCTGCTCTCATTTCTTCAATATCTTCCTCTACTTGATTACTAGCTCTTAATCTTCTTAAAGCTTTTCTTGCCTCCTCTTCCCATTGTTTGGTTATAAGTAAATATCTAAAAATACATTTGACAGTATACCAATTCCAAATATTATTGATAAAGAAAAAGAGAAATCAAATTTTATACTTTTGTGTCGTTTTTGATATAATTTTTCTGAATATTCTACGGTGCTATAAATGAAACACTGACAACTATTTTCTTGTAAATGATTTTTGAAAAAAATGTTAAAATACACTCGAACTTGTGTTATTGAGACTAGTAGTCAAAAATTCAGGTTCGAGTGTATCTGAAAACAAAAAAAATTTGCTTATTACTAAATAGGTGCTAAAGTAGGTACTTTCATTCGTTAGCTGTTTCAAAAAATACTGTTTAAAAAGCATTATTTCAGTGATTTCTATTTGAATATATATAGAAAATGAAGTGTAAAAATTCTATAAAGCTGATAGAAACTACTTACAATGGTTATAATTATTTATCTGTGGATTACTGAAAAGTGTGTAGTATAATGTTTTTTTTTAAAAAAAAGGGATGCTTAGATTATTGATAAAAATCGTACCTCGGTGATTCTGGACAAATTGGCAGGAGTAATAGTTGTAAAATGGCAGGACAAATGGCAAGTCCCAAAAGAACAGGCCAGCCATCATTTGTACCAAGAATTTGTTCTATACCCAGCACCTGGGAGACTAGGAGGCCCACCGTAACAGCGAGCTGGTTCACCGTGCCTAGGCCGCCTCTTAGGTTCAATGGTGCTATCTCCGATATGTACATTGGAACCAATGATGTGTTTAAACCACAATTCACACCTATGATAAAACGGCCAAAGAACAACATTTCATATGAATGGGCAATTTTTGTGAAGCCCATGAGGCATGCCCCTACGACGCCCAGCACGTTGTTTAGCAATAAGCCTCCTTTTCTGAAATACAAAAAAAAAATACATTGGTGTGCTTTTTTCATATGAAATGAGGTTTGAAAAGGTTGAATTTTATGTATTTATAAAAAATAAAAAAAAAAATAAAAAATCCGGGAAGGTTCGAACCCACACCTGACTATTTGAAACGTAACTCACACTTTTACGTGCCTTAGTGACTGCGACCAAGATCGACTATTTTTTTTATTTTAAATATTTTACAAACCTGCCAAATCTGTTAGCAATTGTTCCCCCACTAAATCCTCCAAGCATTCCTCCGATGGCAAATATACTGACTGCCAGTGAATATAAATTGTTGGCTGTACTGTCTGACATGTCTTCTCCATACCTTGCTTTATGTACATCTTTCATGAAACTCTCAATATTCTGTAATGATTATTACGATTATTATAATCTATAATTATAATTATAAATTTTTGTATATTTTATACAAAATCCCCTTTGCCCCACTCGAAAAAAATTCTTCTGAATAAAAAAAGGTTCTTTTCTATTGATGAAAAAAAAAAACAAAATATTCTAAAATAAAGAATAAAGAAATGAGGAAACAATATTTTAAATAAATGCAATTAAATACTTAAATTCGGCAGTACTTTTATAAAATGATTATTTTATTCTAAATGTTCTGAAAATTTATTCGTGGAATGTAGGATATATACAATGTTTGTTACATGTCCTTAATAAAATTATATAAATTTACCTTTTCCGGTGAATTAATGATGCCAGTATTGTATCCGAACTGCAGCATTCCCAGCACAGCAGCTAGTATAGCATACGAAAGGAAAAACGTCAACCCCTAAAACAGAAAAAGATTTTTTTACTCCTATGTCAATGCAAAAATTAATAAATTAAAAAAAATGATCCTTTTATTTACAAAACTGTTGATTAAATTTTTTAATAATTGATATAATTTAATTCAATAAAATAAAATAATTTCATTAAATTAGTCATTAAATGAACTTATTAAATTTATTAATAAATAAAATAAAAATTTAAAATTAAAATAAATTATAAAATAAATAAAATCCTTAAACCCTGCGACATGTGCAGTGAGAGAGTATAATAAAGAAATTAATAATAAACTAAACTAATTTAATTTATTAATAAATAAAACAATTTAATAATTAATCAACTATTAAATTTATTAATAAATAAAATAATTTAAAAAAATAAAAAATCATTAAAATATTTTTAAATATAAAATTTATAAAAATATTGAAAAGAATTTTATTTTTTTTAAATTTAGTAGTTTGGGTTTGTTGAAAAAAATATTTTTAATTAATACATTGTTAGTTATATATATATATGCAGTAATTACTGATGTGTGCACGTTTACAAAAATTGTAATTAATATTTCATTAAAGGAAACAATGAAAAATGTGAATAAATAACGTACACATCAAATATTAAAAATGATTTCCCTATAAAATAAATATCAGCGCGCAAATTAATTGGCTTTGTTTGAATGTACAATTTTTTTTTTTTTTTTTTTAAATGCAATATACATTTTAATTTTATCGTGATATATTTTATATATTTCAATTTTATTAGACACATCGTATTTTTATATATAGGGTTATATATATTTTTAAATTAACGTTTAATTTTTTTTTACAACATACTTGCTTCGAAAATTGCTTCTTTAATTGTTTTTCTCGGTAAACAGTTGGGGGTCATTACAATGATAAAAATCATTCTCTTATTTATATATACATTTCTTACAGTAGGTCAGTTGAATAGAAAAACTTGCTTAATAAATTCTTTGTAATCCTCGCTATTTATAGAAATTTTTTACAAATTTTTTTTTAAACATATTAAGAAATACATTTCGGTTAACTCTTCTTTTTTGCACACATAGTAGATGATAAAAATTATATAGTAAAATAAAAGAAAAATTGGGAAGTAGGTAAAAATAATTTGTTTTGTAGGACACTAGAAACGAATAAAAAAACATAAAAATCGAATGTAAAATTTTATTGAGTAAAAAATCATTCCAAGTTGTAAAAAAATATTAAATTTTAATAATAAAGTATAAAAAGGTAAAATTAAATATATTAACAATGACGTATACAAACATAAAGTATATAAATACATTAAGTGTACATATAAAGTGCTAATTAAATTATAACAAACATAATTAAAAGCATAATAAAATTTGTGTATTACAATTGAAAATAAATCATATATAAAAATTAAAATACATTAAATATTTCTTCTGTGGTAACAAAAACAAGAATCTGAAACAGATTTAATTGAAAAAACAGGTAGATATAAATAAAAAAGAAGCGGTGTTATAAAATAATCAATTAAAAAATAAAATAATAAAATAAAATAATTATAAAATAAAATAATAAAATAAAATAATAAAATAATAAAATATAAAAAATTTTAATTACAAAAAATCTAAATAATAGAATCAAATACCTGTTCTAGAAGTCGTAGTTTTCTCCTATGCGTATGCTCTTCTAGACGCTCTACATATTCTCTTAATTCTTCTATTTCTTCCTTTACCTGCTGCACTGTATCTAATTCGTGCTATAAAAAATGAGAAAAAAAAATTAATCCTTTTATATTGAAATTATAATTAATTTTATATATTAATTGAGAAATTAATATCTAATATTAATTAAATTTATAAATAAGTTCATCATAAATATTATAATAATCAATTATACATGGGTAATTAGTTTCATTAAACGCGAAACTATAAAATATTTATAGACACTACACCTCAAACAGGTCCCGAGGGATAAATGAAAGTGCACTTTATTGATTTCGAATATATGTACATACAATATGCACTTTGCAAATTTTTAGCTAATTTTTCTGTTATAATAATAATAATAATGATAATAATAATAATAATAATTTTTTGATTTTAGATATTTAGCCAAATTTTCCTTTTTCTACATTTCTATAGTCTCAGGTTAATTTTCCATATTGTGAAATTTTACATTCAGCTGATTTATATTTATGTAGATTTATATTTAACTGAATTTTCCAGGGTAGTATTTTTATGAATTAAATAACAGAATTTTTATATTTAGCCAAACTTTACAAGGTAGAATTTTTATTTAACCGCGGTATTTTCATATCGTATTAGTAATTTTTCTATTTTCAACATCACGAAATTTTAATTCCGAGTTTTTATTTAGCCGAATTTTTATTTAATTTAAAAAAAATTATTAAATATATGAAAATTTTATTTAGCTGAATTTTTATTTAACCTACTAAAAAGAAATTTATTTAACTAAATTATTAATTAGCGAAATGTCTATTTAACAGAATTTTACATTTGACCAGAATTTTCATTTAGCAGAATTTACAATGAAAAGAATATTTATATTTAACAGAAATTTTGATTTTATTTTATGTATAATTGAATTTGATTAAAAGAAAAAATTCTTTTAATTAAAAATTATGTACAATATTCGGTTAAATATAAAAATATTGTTGAATATATAAAAATTCGGTAAAATGAAGTATTTTTAAATTTTAAGTATAATAATTTCGTTAAATAGTAAAAAAAAAGTTCTGTTACATGAAAAATTTGGTTAAATATAATATTACAAAAAAATGGTAAATAAAAATTCTACTAAATTAAAATTCATGTTAATTGCAAATTCGGCTTAATAAAAATATGGTTATGTTTTGAAAATTCTGCTAAATAAAAAATCGGTTAAATAAACTTTATTTTTTTATGGAAATTCTGTTAAAGGGAAATTTGGTTTAATTAATTTTTTTAAGATAATTTTTGTTATTATTATTATTATTGTTATTATTGTTATTATTATTATTATTATTATTATTTGGTAATAAATGCAATAAACGATTTAGAGAATTATTTGAAAAACGATATTTTGAATTATTAAAATAAAAAATAAATTTAAATAGTTAGATAAAAAAAAAAATAGCGAGGATAATACCTTAATCGCGACCATGTCTCTCTTGACTTCGCTGACCTCGCTTTGACAGGACTCGACACTTTTTGTCAGCTCCTGCAGTTGCGTGCGTATCTCACATAGGGCGACAGTCGTTTCTAGTTGACGGTCACCCCGTTGCTGCAGCTCATCCAGCTTGGCACTCAAGTTCATACTCATAACGCTGACCTGTTTCTGCAGACTACGCAACATACACACACAGACACATACACGTTCTTATATTTAAATATATTATATATATATATATATATGAATAAATTATAATACAGTAGTCGTATTATAAAATATTGAAACACTGACTATTTTTGATCAAGACCAGATAAATTATTTTACTAGTCTTTCTAAAAAAAAAAAATTCCAAAACTATCTCTTTTTACATTAATTAACTGCCGAGCTTTTGAAAAAAATTTTTTATTTGATTATTTATTATTATTTTTATTATTATTATTGATTTTTATATGAATCAAATATTTAATTTTTAGTAGACTATTCTGTACTTTAATATGATTTTATTATAATATTTTTAGTAGGTGTATTTTTTTTTTTTTTTTTTTAGTATACCTGGAGAAATTTTTTATTCGTATTTTTTTGAAAGAAATTTATTTATTTTTAAATAACCTGCAATAAAATTTATTTGCCTCAAATAAAAATATATTTGTCTCAGAGCCTATTAACTTTTTGTTTAAAAAAAAAAAAAAACTTTTTATTTACTGCAAATAAAATTTTACTTTGAGCAAATAAAAATTTTTATTTGAACCAAATAAAATTTATTTTCCTCTGATACAACAAATATATATCTTTTCTCTGGGTGTAAATTCTACATTGAAAAAAAAAAAAAAAAATTTATTTTTTTCATTTCATTTATTAAGTTGAGGGGACATTTATTTAAATAAATATTTACCTGAACCAAATAATTTTTTACTTGAAACAAATTCTATATAGCTCGGCAGTAGCAATATATATAAGACTTTCAATAAACAATAATGTCATTTATTTATATATATTATATTGAAAAACAACACAGACAAAATACAAATGCGACTAAAAGCATGTCTAGGTTTTGTGTGTATATTATATTTATATATGTGATGTTGTTGAGGTGATAAAAGGCTACGGTGAATTTGCAGCTGTGCACATAAAATTAAACATATATTGCTATATAGTGTTTCAGAGAAGAGAAATAGAGCAGAAATCTAATGAACGGTGAATTTTCCCAAGATCGGTGTATGTGTTTTTTTTTCTCTCTTTCTCTTTCTCTCCCTCTATCTCTGTTTGTTTTTTTTGTGCAATAAAAGAAGGAAAAAAAAAGAAAATAGACTGAAGTGAATTTGAACGAATCTCGAAATCAGAAAATGAGAGAACGAAAGAGAGAAAGAGAGGAAAAAAAATTCGCAATGTTAAGAAATATCCTACTAACACGATGCATGAGGTGTGCAAAAAATGATTGAAGCTTTCTTCTTTTTTTTCTCTATTAACGAAGCCCTAAAGAAATCTATATGGCTGATTTATATATTGATTTATTATTTTCTTTATGATTTTTCTTTCCTCGCGAGCATATTTCCTCCATCCTTCTTTATTATTAATATATACAATGTATAGATTTTTATTCCACGTTTTTTATTTGTTTTAAAAAAAATTTTTTTTTTGCAAGAAAATCGAAGATAGATATATTTTCTAAAAAAAAATTTTAATTCCAAAAAAAATATTTGTCCCAGTCAAGTAACTTTTTATTTGTTTCAAATAAAAAACATTTAATTTAGCACAAAGAAAATTTTATTTAGTGCTAATAAAATTTATTTGAAACAAATAAATTTATTTATTTTATTATTTTTATAAATTTATTTATTTTATTATTTTTATAAATTTATTTATTTTATTATTTTTTATAAATTTTGATTAACTAAATTTCAATAAATTCAAAATTGTAAAAATTAAAAAAAAATTTTTTAATCTTTTTCTTTTTTTTAAAAAAACGTTATCTAATTATTTATGTAGAAAATAGTTGAGGTTTTATAATTTTTTGACAAATAATGACAAAATAGATCAATTTTCAAATATTGTTATATTATTTTAGTTAGGAGACATCTAAAGGGAAAAATAATAAAAGACTGGAAAAAAAATTTTTACTTTGAAGTTTGATATCACACATTGGATTTGAATAGATCCATACGAGAAAAATTGTTTTGATATTTCATTTTTTTCTAGACTTTTATGTTTCATTTTCTTGATAAATTTTAAGCTTGTTACTTTATAGAGATTAAAAATAGATTATTGTTGAAGGATTTTTTTTTCACGAAAAAAATTAATTGAAAAAAAAGGGAGGAATCTGTTACATAAAAGTTTGTTGGATGGAAAATATTAAAATATATATACTTTTATTATATGATTTTAGTTTGTATTTGAAATTTTTTTTTTTATCTAATTTAAAATTTATTTTCCTCTTTTTTATGTTTATTTTTACATTTAAAATCATTTAATTTTAATATTGTAAATTTTTTGAAATTATTAAATTTAAATATATAATTTTCAAATAATGAAATATTATTTGCTTGTTAATTTGTTTGTTATATTTACATGCTAATTAGATTGGATTTATTAACAATGGCTTAATGTTTAATTAAACATTGAGTTAATTTTGATTTAGAGTAAGAATAAATTTTTTTTTTGAAATTTATATAATTATAATATATATTTAATATATTTAAAATATTTATTAAAATGTAATTCAAAGTAGATTTTTTTTTGTTAATTTTAAAGAAAATTAAGCTTGGATTTTATTAACTGATTTCTCCCTACCTCCGGGTATTTGAAAGAATTGTTTTCTAAAAGCAAAATTTCTCACTGGATTAAAAGATTTTTCTTTTAGCAGCAAAAGCAAATGTTTACCTTTTTTGCTAAAAGGAACAAACACAGCAGCAAAAAAGAAAAATTAAGGAAAATTGGATCATGTTTTGGATTTTCTATGAAAATTTTGTCATTATTTGAAATTAATGTTATAAATTATCAATATTGAGTTTAGAAAATTTTGTTTATTTTACAATTTTTTTTACAACTATTTAAACAAAAAAGAGGTATTAGAAAATAAATTTTTTTTTACTCATTCACGTGAATAGAGAAGGTTGGCAAGAAAATATTTACTCGCTCGTTTGGAGGAAAATTGCAATTGCTATTATAAATGACAATTTGGAAAATATATTGTTGATTTCGATGTGCACAGCAGAGCAATATAATACAGAAGTGATCGATTAAGGATAAAAGGGTACAGAAGGTGGTTTTTTTTTTTTTTTTTTTGTTGAATGCATTGCGTGTTAAGTGATAAGGGTGATCAGCAGAAATGAAAATGAAAATGAATCGAAAAGGATTGCACAGTGAAAAATTTGATAAATGACAAAATTAACAAAAAAAAAATAATTTAAAGAAAAATTGCGATTAAAAAAATAGAAAAAAAAATTTTTGTGAAAAATGAGAAAAGAGAGAGGAAAATAATGAGAAAAAGAGCAGTGATGATGTCGGTATGTACCTGGGAGGTAGGGAGACCATGGCTGTGTTCCGAAACTACAGTAGCTTCAATACTCCTCCCCAAAATATTTTTCACTCCTCTTCAGAGATTCAGATTTTTTCAATTCTGAGAATAATCTTTATTCTCAATCAATTTATATATATATATATTTTTTGGATTTTCCAGCATAAATCCAAATTTGAGAATGTTTTTTTTTGTCAGGCTTGTTGTCTTGAAACACCAATGTTGTAGGAAGGTAAATTGGCGCGCGAGTACCACCCGCCCTTGCTTCTATCTCTGTCTTTCTCTGACCCTTTCTTTTTTTTCTTTCTCTCTCTTTCTCCCTCTTTCTCTTTCCCTCTCTCTCTCTCTCTCTTTCTCTGTAAACTTTACCTAGTTTGGAAACACAGTCGTGGTTCAAAATTAGATGTCAAATGAATTATTCGCCTCGCATTTTGTATCGTGACGTCCAATTCACAACACTAAAAGGTCATTGTAAGTTAAAAGTAACATCGCGCAATACGACGCACCGCCAGCTTACCCGCTCGCTTTTACGATGAAGCGAGCTTTATTTTTTTTTTATTTATTTATTTTTTTTTTTTTATTATTTTTATTTCAATATGGCCCATCACTTTTATGCGGAACGAACCGTTGGCAAAAAATAATTGACAAAAATTAGCATGATATTTGATGATATATATGTTTTTCCTCTCCTTATTTATTTTTATTTTTTTTTAATCTCTTAATTTACGACAAACACACAAATAAGTTACTGTTACAAATTAAGAAAAGTTTTATTTCGAATTTTGGAAAAAAATTTTGTACTTATTTTTTTTTCTTTATTTTATTTCAATTTTTTCTTTATTATTTAATTTGTTTTCTTTATTTTATTTAATTTTTTCTTTATTATTTAATTTGTTTTCTTTATTTTATTTTATTTTTGCACGGAAAAAAGGAAAAAAGTAATTTTTATTACTTTCAGAGTAAAAAAGGGAACTGTCCGTATAGTTTCTGCGCATCTCTGTCAATTTTTACTCCAAAAATAGTAAAATTGACTATTTCTGTAGTAAATTTTACTGTTTCCGTAGTAATTTTTACTATTTCTGGAGTAAATTTTACTATATTTGGAGTAAAAGTTGCCAGAGATGCGCAGAAATTTCGAACAGTTCCCGTTTTACTCCGAAAGTAATAAAAATTACCTTTTTCTTAATTATTTTGAGATGTTCACTAGAAATTTTTAGTTGAAATTTTCATTAAGCAGAATTTATACTTAGACGAATTTTCATTTAACCAAATTTTTTATTTAACAGAATTTCCATTTAACAAAAAATTTAGTACAATTTTCATTAAGCGGAATTTTATAATGCATAATATTTAACCAAATTTTCATTGAACAGAATGTTAAAGTACCTAAACTTTTAGCAACAAAAATTTTTATTAAACTAAATTCTAATTTATCGAATTTTAAATTAACTGAATTTTCATTTTAATAAAATTTGAATTTTGTTGAATTTTCATTTAACAGAATTTTTATTTAGCTGAATTTTCGCTTAACAATTTTTATTTAACTAAATTTTTGCTTAACAAAACTTTTATTTAATGAAATTTTTATCAATTTTCATTTTACGGAAAATTTAACCAAACTTTCGGCCAAATAGAAATAAAAATTTTAATTTTTAAAGTCTTATACAATTCTAGCATTCAAATGTTTGGCTAAAAATATGTTAAATTAAAATAAATTTAAAGAAAAATTTCTCTTATGAAAAATCTGTTCATGAAAATTCGATGAAATGGAAAATTTTTATTTTAAAATAAAGTTCAATACTAATTGGTTAATTCATTTGTCTTTATAAATTTAAATCAAATTCTAACTAGTGAATTTAATAAATTTTTGTTTATAGTTATATGAGTAAAATTTTATTACAGTAATAAATATTTTTAAAAAATTCTGAATTATTAGTCAAAAGTTAACTGAAATTATTTATCATAATTAAAAGATTTTCATCATAATCGTAATATTAATTAATTGTTAATAAATGAAATAAAATATTAATATTACTCTTTTAATTAGAAATAATGTTTGCTTTTAGAAGAGGAAATATTTTTGAGAAAGTTTAAAATTTCGAGATAAAAAGAAAATATGAATTTAAATAGATAACTATACTTGAGTTGGTAATTAATTTATTTTTATTGGATAATAAAAATTCGTCTTATATATAAAGCTATATAAATTAAATAATAAAGAAAATATAATAGAGATAAAATAATTGAACTTAATATAATAATAAACAAAAGAAAATTGAAATATATCGCGATAAATTTATATAGAATTCTTGAAAGGAACTAATAATAATGTCTGATTTATGCACTCGAGTATAACAATCGCATTATAGGAAGTTTCTTTGTATCAAGTTTCATGTTTTGTTCTCAAGAGTACTCCCAACATAGAAATTCCATTAACTTATCGTCATTCAATAATAATATTCTTTACAAAATATATAACTTTGAGAATATTTTTAAACTATCGTTGAGTAACTGAGAAAAATATATTTTTCAATTTTTTTACAATAACTATTTATTTATTTTTTATTTGTAAATTCGAAAATAATTATTTTTTTTGAGAGAGAGAGAATCGACTAGGTTGGAACAGAGAAAAACGCAGTGTTCCAACCTAGACGATTCCACTTTATTTATTATTTTTGAATTTATTTATTTTATTTATTCTATTATTTTTAGAATTGTTTTTTGTTTTATTGTTATTATTTAAAAATTATTTATTTATTTCATTATTTTAAATTTATTTTTTCTTATATTATTTTCAAATTCATTATTAAAGATAATTTTTTTGGATAATGAATTCCTTCAATTAAAGAGAAAAATAATTTTTTTTGCCAATTGATTTTTTTTTGTAAACAGTGATACTTATTTGTGTGATGTAATTTGTAAATGGTCGTGAAGTGAAGGAGTGAGCAATAAAGTGGTAAGCCTGCGAGCGCCGCAGCCAATAGAAAAATTATGTAATATAAAAATACAATCATCAGTGTGTATGATAAATATCGTTATGATTCGCAATGTGTGTTCGATAATGTACAAAAAAAAAAACAGTTCTAGAGTGTGATTTATGTTTAAAATGATGGATGCCGTGGCATAAAGCCTTGCATTGCATTCTCTGGTTACATACTAGAATATAAGAGATCATGTATATGAGAAGCAGAACAGCGTTTGTTTTTCTTTTTTTTTAAAAAAATTAAATATCATAAGCGTCATATTTTTGAGATTCCCATTTTTTTTAAGTGCATTACAAAAATACCCACAAAAAAATTGCGTAAAAAAAGTAGAATTAAAATTTTACTCCTTAACTCTATTTTTAACTCCGAAAATTTTAATCCCAATGGGATTTTTTTCTTTCGGAATTAAAGCAAAAGGAGTAAAATTTAGAGAGTTAAAAATTTTACTCCTTAACTTTATTTTTAACTCCGAAAATTTTACTCCCAATGGCAGTTTTTTTAATTTAGAAGTTAAAGCCAAAGGAGTAAAATCTGGAGTTAAAATTTTACTCCATTATATTTTTTTTTTTATTGACTTTAGAGCAAAATTTTCACTCTTTTTCCGAGTCAATTTTTAACTCCGAAAAATTTTACTTTAACTCTGAATTATTTTTTTACTATTAAAAAGAAGAATAGAAAAATTTTTTTTTCCCGCACCGTGTTTTAATTAGAAAGATAAAAGAATGGCATTAAAATTCGTCTGTGGAATTTTTATAATGCCGTGTATTTTTTTATTTTACAATTAAAAAATAAAACTATATCTATTGACTATAACTAAATTTTAAAGTAATAATAGTGAATAGAAAAATTCTCTTTAAATTATGGAATATAGATTAAAGATAAAAGATAAACTATTGTTTGAACTATTTTATATTTATATTTCTTTTCAAGGAGACTTTTTTTCATTCATGTAAAATTTATAATTTCCGTTACATTATTGTTATAAGTTTATTATTCTTTATTATAATGAACGAGATTCTCAGAAATTTGACTGGTATTTTGAATCAAATTTTTAAAAAATAGTAATGATAGAAAAAAAAATTTTTAATTTTATAAAAGTTTTGTAAAATCACAGAAAATTAAAAGTCATTAAAATAAGCTGCAACGCTTATTATTTTAATCCAATTTTGCTTATTTTAATTCATTTTGGTATTAAAATAATCAAAATTGGATTAAAATAATAATGTTGCAGCTTATTTTAATGCCTTTTAATTTTCTGTGATTTTACAAAACTGTTTTATAAAAAATTGAATTTTGTAATTAATTATCCAAGAATTTAAAAAGTTTTTAAGGAAATTATTTTTTTAAACTTAATTATTTTGAAATATAATAATAATTATTATTTTATTTTATTTATAATAATAAACGGGACAATTCTAAGTTTAATTATTTTAATTATTTTGAATTATTTTTTTTTTATAATTTATTATCTGATTGCTGTCTTTTTAATTTAACCCGGGTTTTATCCTTTCTATATGAATAGTTTGTATGTTTTTTTTTTTTCTAAACTTGTATTCGAGCAAAGTGTTACCAACTTTATTGCCATGAGCAATGAACATGACGACTAGATACCTTAAGAGTTTTTTTTTCGTTTTTTTTTATATATACATAATATTGTAATAAAAGTTTTATGTTGGGAGAGAAAAAAAATGATTTTGTTGAGTCAGCTGAAATGTATCTGTCATAAAAAGTCGCTTCATTTCAGGTTGGTTCGTGATAACTGGCTCATATCCAAAATGATTTTCATCTTTATCCGTAAAACTTATTAATAAAAATCAAAATATTCTTTATTTTTTTCTTAGAAATCTCTTTATCTTTTGTGTAAAGGAATTTTTTTTTTTTTTAGTTTCATTCTAGATTTACTGTTAGTAATTTAATTACTCGATATTTGAAATATGTTAAAGAATTTAAACTTTAAAATTCCAAATGGAAAAAAAAATTATTTTTTAAATATTTTTTTCGAGAATTAATAGTAATAAAAATTTTTAAATAAATTTTTTAGTTTAAAAAGCGTTTAAATTTTGTAATAAGTTACTTGACAGTTTAAAAGTTATTTAATTTTTATAAATAAAATGGAAGAATTTTTTTAACTCTTAAATCTAGTTGCCATGTCATCAATTTAACAGTCAATCTCTAGAATAATAAAAAATAGTGTTTTAAAATTGTACCATCGTGTGTGAATAAGGTGAACTCAGAAAAAAAATATATATATTTGTCTCAGGATTAAATAAATAATATCAATATTTTCGATTTTTGTTTGTGGCAAACAAAAAAATTTTGACAAAACATTTTTTTTTTTTTGATATACAAAATTTTTTATGAATTATTTTTTTGTGATAGACAAAATTTTTTTTACATATTATTTCTTTAATTCTGCGACAAATATATTTTTATTTAATTCAAATAAATTTGGTTGGAATAAAAAAATTTCTCTGAGCGTGTGTATTTATATTAACATCGATGTGTTTTTTTTTTTGTAATTGTTTTGTTTACTGAATCAGAATTTCTCAAACAAATCACGTAAAATTTTTAAAAAAATTTGAATTTTCAATAAAAAATAATTTTTTTTACTCCTGTGATCGAAATAAATTTTTAAAATTATTGAACCAAAAAAATTTTTTGTTCAAGTTATTAACAATTAAAATTTTTAAGTCTAATAAAAAAGGTTTTCTATTATTAAATTATTAAAAAAAAAAAAAAAATAAATGAGTTAAATTTTGTTAGAATAATTTAATAATTATTTAAATAATTTTTATTTTTCCACAGAGCATTCTAGAAATATGCAATTTTTTTTCTCCAATTTTGCAAATTAAAAATCTAAATATAATAAAAATTTTTAAATTATTTAATTAATTGTTTAAACAAATAATTGTTGTACATTATTAACTTTTTCTAAAGTGTGATAATTTTTTTCCCTTCAATTTTACAATTAAATAAACTACAATAATAGCGAATAAAGATTTTTTAAAATTATTATTATTTTTTTTTTATGTTCTGGACAAAATAAATTTTTCGACTAATTTCAAAAACTTATTTTGATCAAAGTAAAAAATTAATTTACAATTTTTTTTTCTAATTTTAGCGAATTTGAAAAATTTTGATTCCGTTTAAAAAAAATAGTTTTTATTTTCTTTTGAAGTTATTTGATATTATTGTTTAAAAAAAAAAAAAAAAGAAGTAGGGGAAGTGGGGGGTCGTACCTTACAAGCAACTCTCTAAGAGTGGCTTCGTCGTCCTCTTGTACTTCTTCCTGCGTCTCATTACTGAATGGGCTGCGGGCAAAATGATGACGCGTTGGTCTAGAACTAAAGCGGGGAATCCGTCCCCCGTGATGATACGTGGTAGTCGTGGTGGTGGTTGTTGTTTGAAGATATCGAGATGAAACTTTTCGCCCTCTCGTCAGCTTGAGTGTTGTTGAACCCGCATCAAATGCGGCATGAGGCCCAGACTCCCCATAACTGCCTCGAACTCCATATTTATCCTCCACCCTGGACGTTACGTTATTATCAATACCAACGCCAGTAGTAGCAGCACTTGTGCCGTTATTTATAATTTTTCTTCTTGTTGTACGTCCGTCTTCTTTTCTTTTGCTACGACGTACACGTTGTTGTTGTTCAATAAAATTACGTGGAATTATACGGGGACCCTCCTCTGAATCCTGAGGACCCGAGAGACTCGATATATCCTCATAAAGACACTCGGAATCAATGTCCGATGATGCCACTCCTGACGCAACACTCCACAGTTGATTTATTGGTTTGAAGCCGCGTGAATCGGCCATCGTTCGTGCTGATCGGGAAAAAAAGATCAACACAACGTGTCCTTATCACTTTATTCCAATTTTATTTTTATTTTTTTTTTTTTTTGAAAATTTTGATGCGAAAATTTTTTTTGAATTTTGTCAATTTATTAGCAGTGTCAGGAAATTGATTTTTCATATGAGAATCGTATTTTTTATTATTTAATTGAATAGAAAATACATTTTCCCCAGTGATAAATAATTGTTTTCAAAAAAATTTGGTGGGAAAAAAGAATTGGGACCAAAAAAAAAAATGTACCAATTTTGTTTGGCCGTTTTTTTTTCATACTAAATAAAATTTATTTTTCTGAAACAATTATTTTACTTCTCTCTGGGTGTGTGTGTGTGTGTGTAATTTTTTTTCGACTCGTTTAATTCATTGGCAATGAATTTGGTAATTGTAATTTTAAAAAAATCCCCTCCCCTCAAAAAAATTGGAAGTTTTATCATTAAAATTTATTTGGAATTTTTGTTTGAAAGAATTAGATGCGGAAATTTTCTGTAGCCAAATTTTTATTTCACCGAATTGGGCGAGATTTTTAAAATTGACCAATTGCAATTTTTTTTCTAATTTCTAAATGGATTCGAATTTTTAAATACCGAAATTTTCAATTTACCGAATCGTTTTTTGTAGCCAAATTTTTATTTGACCGAATTCGGCGCAATTTTTAAAATTGACCAATTGCAATTTTCATTTCTAATTTTTTGATTGATCAATTCTGAAAATAACCGAATTCGGTCAAATAAAAATCTGGATTCGAATTTTTAAATACCAAAATTTTCAATTTACCGTATCTTTTTTTGTAGCCGAATTTTTATTTGACCGAATTTGGCGCAATTTTTAAAATTGACCAATTGCAATTTTCATTTCTAATTTTTTGATTGATCAATTCTGAAAATAACAGAATTCGGACAAATAAAAATTTAGATTCGAATTTTTAAATACCGAAATTTTCAATTTACCGAATCGTTTTTTGTAGCCAAATTTTTATTTGACCGAATTCGGCGCAATTTTTAAAATTGACCAATTGCAATTTTCATTTCTAATTTTTTGATTGATCAATTCTGAAAATAACCGAATTCGGTCAAATAAAAATCTGGATTCGAATTTTTAAATATCAAAATTTTCAATTTACCGTATCTTTTTTTGTAGCCGAATTTTTATTTGACCGAATTTGGCGCAATTTTTAAAATTGACCAATTGCAATTTTCATTTCTAATTTTTTGATTGATTAATTCTGAAAATAAGCGAATTTGGTCAAATAAAAATCTGGATTCGAATTTTTAAATACCGGAATTTTCAATTAGCCGAATCTTTTTTTGTTCGAATTTTTATTTGTCCGAATTCGGCGCAATTTTTGAAAATTGACCAATTGCAATTTTTTTTTTCTAATTTCTGAATGGTCAATTCTGAAAATCGCCGAAATCGGTAAAATAAAAATCCGGACAAAAGAAAATGCGATGGATTAAATATTCTGTCATTTAAAAATTCAGCTAATTAAAAATTAATTTAAAATAAATTTTGTTAAAATAAAAATTCGTCGATGTAAAAATTGTATTATAAACAAAAATTAAATTTTAATTTCTCAATTCGATTTAAAAAATAAAAATTTGGCTAAAAATAAATTTTATCGAAATAATGCACAAAAAATTTAAATAAAAAAAAGAAGGTAAAAAAATTTTAAAAAAAACTTAAAAAAGTTTTTAATTTTTTCCTTATGAGAAAATTATATTTTGACCTTTCCTTTTTTTTTGTTTACAAAAAGAAATACCTTGACACAATTTTCTTTATGAAACAGTGAAAATTTTGTTGGTTGAAATATATGGTATTTATAAATAATATATATGTGAAAGTCGATTTTCATTAAATTTGAAAAATTTATTATCCTTTTAAGGATATTTCAAAAGGAAAAGCTATTGCATCGAAAATGATAAACGTTAATGTGTTGCAAGAGTGTGTTGACGTAAAACGTCGACATTTATCGTTACATTGGTCTGAAGAGTCTTTTACTTCATGTACTTAACCTAAAAACTAAGAAGCCTAAAGGGGAGAAAAATTTTTTCAACATTTTCCTTTGAATTAAACGAGTGAAAAATCACTTTTGAAATTTGCTTTTTAGGACAAATTTTTTTTTCTGTTTTTTTTTTTTGTAATTAATTTTTTTTCGATATCACATTGAAAGTTATAAAGACTTTGTTGAAACTGAAACTATATTTAAATATTTATTATAAATAAACAAATAATATAATATGCGAATAATAATAACGTAAAAAAATTAATATATAGTAATAATTAAAAAAACAATTTATTAATTACAATTAATTTTTTACTGTATTATTATTAATTATTATTATTAATTATTAATTAGTTATTAATTATAATTGATAATTATAATAGTAATGACAATTAAAATTATTATAATTATATTATTATTATTATTATTAAAATTATTATTAATTAATTAATTACTAATATTATACTATTTGAGTATTTATAAATATATAAAAATATTTGTTTAAAATACGAATTATAAAACAATAAAATATATCGTGGAGACAAATTGAGAAAAATAAAAAACCATTTTTTTTTTTTGTTATAAAATAAATTTCAGTTTCCTGACACTAAACTAACGATATGACACATTCTTTATGATGAATTTTCGTTTCGTGCGAATGCCGTGATTTTCGATTTATATCAATAATTTTGATTCTTCGTATATTATAATACATTCATGCCTCGCATGCATATTTTTTTTTTTTTTTTTGTGAAAAAAATTATTTTTGTGCGGAAAATAAAAATTCAATAACAACACGCACAATAATTCGTGTGTGTAATGTGTTATTTAAAATGTGTGTTTTTATTTTTTTTTTATTTTTGAACGCAAAATCCATGCAAAAACATATATTTATATAAATTAAACACTGAAAAAAATATATCCACTTACTGCAAAAATTTGCAATGCGTCTAATGGTTTACAAAAAAAATTTATTAGACATTCCATATACATATAATGTATAATTAATTATTACTCCTGATTTTTGTTTTTGAAAATTTTCTCTCCTCAATATTTCTCTGTTAGAATCATATTAATAATGGTTACATATATACACACACATAATTTTGATGATTTAATTAATTAAAATTTATTAACAGAATCTAATTAATTGATTCATCATTGATTAACGATTTCTATTGAAAATTAATTGTATTTTATTTTCTAAAGAGCAAACAAAAAATGTTTTACAATTTTATTTAGCTACGGAAGCTTAAATAGAAAAATACGTACAAAAAAAAATTTTATGTAAAAAAAATTAATGTAATAGGGGCAAATATGGTTTGGAAAAAAAAAATGTTTTGTAAAAGATTATTACGAATGGCATATAAATATACAAATTATTAAATATTATAATATTATTATAATTATAATAGTTATGTATTATTATAATAATTATATATTATTATAATATATATTATTATGTATTATTAATATCTATTATTATAATTATATATTTTAATTATAATTTTAATTAATAATTATTTATTTATAATATTATATTATAATTTTTTTTTGTTTTTGTATATATTTATGATATTATTATTTTTACTTGGAGTAAAAGAAATAATGTCTAAAAATGCAGGTGTATTAATTATTTAATACGTGCGCTATGCGAAGTTAAAGCTGACTAACCTCAAACAATTTCCAAGCCATTGTGCCCGGCGATGATGAAGCACTCCACGACTTTGTGTGTTGTGACAAGTGGAAGTCCTTTTGCTAGGAAAAGGTATAATACTCTACCGTCTTGATAAGCGATCCGTGACACAAAAAATTTCTAGATTCCAATCTGTTGCTTCGTTTTGCTGCACTCGGTTATTTTTTTTTTTCAAATCTTCTCACTTTCCATCACTCTACACCTTGGCTGCAAAAAAAAGAACACAAACAAAAATTACAAATATTTTCTTTAACAGTGAAAAAAAAGTTTTTTTTTTTTTTTTTCTTGAAAAAAAACTCACTTTTTGTTAGAGCGATAAATATTTTGCAACATTTTTTCCAGTTATATTTATTTTAGGAATTTTTCTCTATTATTTTTTTCTTTTATGTTTCTTTTTTTTTAATCTCGATTTATTTATTTTTGCAAACAAAAAAACATTCCTATTGAAGTAAATCATATAATTATTGGCACTTGAAAAGGGAACATTGTTTATTTTTTTGCGAATATGAAACATTTTTTTTCTGATAATTTTCTGTTCATATATAAAAAAAAACTACATGAATTATTATGTCAGTGAGATAAATTGATTAAATATTAAACATTTTTTTTTCAACAGAAAGCTTTCATTTGTAATAATGTAGATAAAAATCATAAACGTCGAGGACTATATAAACAAGTTAATAACATATGAATCATAAAACATTCGGTTTTTCCTTTAATAAAATTTTAATTAATTCAACAACAGGTGAAAATTGTCTTACATAATTTATTTATTTTTTAAAGTGTAAAAAAATACGTATTTTTATAATATTTTTTGTAAATTAATAAGCGTCAATTATTAATTATTTTATTTATTTAAAAATTATTATTTTATTATTTTATTTTACTCCTAATTATTATTTTTAGCAAACCAAATCTTCTAGTTAAAAGAATTTTTTAATTAACTAATTAATTTTTATAAAGAAAATTTTTTTGAATCGAATTTTTATTTAGCCGAATATTAACAGTCAGTAAAATTTTCCATTAAGCAGAATTTTGGTTTAAATTAATTTTCTTTAGAAAAATTGTATTTAGCCTACTTTTTATTCTATTTTAACTCATATAATTATTTAACATATTTATTATACAGAATTTTTATTCGATTTTTAATTATTTGGCCGAAGAAAATTTGGTATAATTAATAATTAATAATTAAATAATTAATTTTCTTTAAAATTTTTTTTTAATTTCTGCCTAATGGGATTTTTCTAAACTCTAATTTCGCTTTAGTAGAATTTTTATTTAACCAAATTTTCTTTTTGGCAAATTTTTATTTAATATAATTTTTATTATACTGAATTTTCATTGGCTTATTAATCATTTGGCTGAATAAAATTTAGTATAATTAAATATTTAATTTTTTTCAAGTTTCGTTTAACAAAATCTATGCTTAATGAAATTTTCTTTGAAAATTTTTTATTTAACTAAATTATTATTTTGTTAAACTTTTATTTAACGGAGTTTTCATTTAACCAAATATATTTTTTTTAATGGGAATTTTATTTGGCCTAATATAATTTAATTATTTGTTTGAAGAAAATTCGATGTAATTTGGAGTAAAATATTATATGTAAAAATAATAATTAAAAAATTTTTTTTTTAAATTGTGTGGTTTTATCTTTGTTGAAACTTTATAGAAAAAAGAAATATTTTTCACAAATTAATAATATATAGTTTGCGTTTATCTCAAAAAGGAAAATGGTTATTTTGTGAAATATAATGCATTATTGTATGCACGATGTTGAGTATGTAATTAATTATTTTTGTTTTGAAAGTTACACTACAAAACTAGTATATAGATGATGAAAGGAATAAAAGGACATAATATGGAATGTGGGGACATTGAAAACAATTGAAGCGTTTACTGACTAAAAAGTGAGCCGGCGGACCGGTGGCATATTATTTAGATATATATAAAATAGAAAACAATTCAAAATTTACGTATTAATTTTCAAAAAAACATATTGAAAAAATATTGACAAATATTTTATCCCTTTAATTATTTTGAGTTTTTTCAAGAAAAAAAAAAAATTTTTTTTATGTGGAAAAAAATTTCTATAACCAAAAAATGGATAAATTCAATTTTTTCAAATTCATTTTTGTTTTAGATTATTATTTTTTTTGTATTTGTTCATATTTATTTATTTTTTTTTGTATTTTTTATATTTATTATCTTTTGTATTTTGTTATATATATTTATTTTCTTTTTGTATTTTTTTTATTATATATTTATTTTCTTTTGTATTTATTTGTTTTTTTTTTATAAAAAAATTTATAAATATTTATATATAAATGAAAAAAATATTTTTCTGTTTTATTTAATTTTTTGTTTTTTAGTTTGCTTTTTATTAAATAATATTTTCCCACAAATGAATGAATATAAAATATAATTAATTAACGTATTTATTATAAAATATATAGAAATTTTCACCATTTTTATTTGCCTTTAGGCAATTGCCATTAGACTAATTACAAAACAAAATAATATTAAAAAAAAAGAAGAAAAAATAAATAAATAATGAAAATAAACAAATAAAAAAAAAATGATACTTTATAATGCGATATAGTAATCAATGTTTCGATAAATTTTTTTTTATTTATTATTTTCATTATTTAATTATTAATTACTATTAATATTTTATCTTTTTTTCATTAATTTTTATTTTATTATTGTTTATTATTATTATTATTATTATTATTATTATTATTATTATTGTTGTATTATAATAAATTTTCTTTTATAAAAATTTATTTAATTAAAAAGTACAAAATTTTGAAAAAAAATAATTTAAAAAAATTTTTTTTTTGCAACAAATTTTGCCGGCTGGAATTTTCTTACCGTTTTCGTTAAATATAATGAAACATTTGCTATTTCCTCAGTTGGTAACAAAATAATCCATTCTACTTGATGTTAAACTCCAAGCAAGTTACTCTATTGACACATATATATATATATTTTGTATTTACTACACCTGGTCATTTACATCACATGACACGTAACACCAAACACACAGGTATAACTAACAAGTTTAACATGTTCAGAAATGTCATTATTTATATACACAATATTATTTTCTATAGAGAGAAAAAAAAATAGATGAAATTTTTAAAAAATTATTTTACGCGAACATATCACTTTTAATTGACAATGAGATAAATAATTCACGTTCTTTAATTGCGTTTATATATAGGTATTATATTGTGTAGCGTAAAAGTTGCGGGTTACGACTGATTGCATGACTACACATGCCTAGTGTGCTTACTATACAGAAAATGGAAGCAAGGTCCGGTCACCTCCTTCCAACTTTCGCCTCCAACACATAGAGAGGCATCTACAATCCTCTCCTTCATATCACATATTCGACCTTTATATATTTATCTCTTGGCAATTCAATAATTTTTTTTTTTTTTTTTTTTTTTTTTATTATTATTCTTTTTTTCCTTTTGCGTGTTATATTTCATTATATGTACCTTTTGTAATTCTTTATTTGTCTTCATTTTTGTTTACTCAAATCATCGCACGTTTAATGGAAAAATTCATTTTGAAATTGAATTAAAAATTGATATTTTCTAAAAAAAATCTCGAGAATTAAATTTTTTTAGAAAATACAATTTTTAGATTTTTTAGAATTTTATTTTTTAAAATTTAATTGTTTATTATTAATGTTATATATAGAATATAAATGAGTATAATAATAATAATAATAATTATAATAATAATAATAATAATAATAATAACAAATAAAATGATTTAAAAAAACAATTATTTATTAAAAATTATAAAATATTTTTATTTTTCAGTTTAATTAAATATTTTAAAATTTTTATTCTATGTTTATTGACGATCCAATAAATATCTGAATAAGATTTTTAAAATGAGCTTCTAAAAACACGGAAGGAATTCTTTCGTAGAATTAAAATTCCATATGTGACTCAAATTAATAGGTTGTTTGAAGGATGGAATTTTTTTTTTCTACTTTATTTTATAGAAACAATAAATAACCAACAATTACGATAATTATATCACACGAGTGTTAAAAATACAGCCTAGAGCAATGTGTATAAAAAAAAAAAAATTTGCAAATTTGTTTTTCATGCATTTTAAATTTTTGAGGAAAACTTTATTGAAGGTTGTTTTTCTTCAAGAAATAGTTTATAATATTAATTTTTAGATAATAATTATTATTTATTATAATAATTAGTTATTATTATAATATAATAATATTATATTATAATATAACAATATTATTATAATATAGGTATATAATAATTATATTTTATAAATTATAATATTATAGTAAAATTTTCTTGACTATTATCAAATAAATATTTATAATTATAATTAATTTTGTATCAATTTTGATAATAGTTATTATAATAAAATACTAATATTTTATAATGAAATAATTTTATTTGATAAGAATAATTAAAATATTGAGGTAAAGAATTTTTTTTCTAAACTAGAAAATTTTTTTGAACTTTATCTTTTTTTTTTAACAAAGATTAATTTATAAGTCCAATAAACCGATTTCCTGACAATAAGTCTAATAATAATAAATTGAGATTTTTTTTCCAGACTAATATTAAAGTGTGCACATAATTTACTATCTAGCACACGTGAGTTTCTGATAATAAATGAATCGTTTTTTTTTTCGTTATCATTTTTATATCTTCATCAATGTTCTTTATTTTACTGTTCAACATTAATTGCTTTTTATAATTATCTAAAGAAATTTTGGAGGATTTTCTAATTTGAAAAAAAATTTATTCCTATCAATTGTTACTAATAATTTTTTATTTCTAAATTTTCCAAACTTTTTGTTTTTTATATTATTTTTCTTCTTTATTATTTTTATTTATTTATTTATTCATTATTATTATTATTTTTTTTTGTTATTATTATTATTATTATTATTGTTTGTTATTGTTATTATTATTATTTTTTTTGTTATTATTATTATTATTGCTATTTGAATGTAACATTTATCCTTGACTGTGAAATAATTTGATATTTAAAACTTTCTTGATGGCATATTACATACAATATTCCGATACGATATACATATATATATATATATACGTAATCCGTGATCAAATTGAATTCTGGAAAGACCATAATTGGGCTGTATATAGCAGAGAGGGGAAAGATACGTGCATTTACGTGAATA